TATGTTGTTCTTTAAACTAGGCCGACTGAAAACGGCAAGAAATCTACCACCATGGTAACATCAGCTTGATTGCACAACATCCTAATAGTGTGGGCATTTACACACAGACAAAATAATTATTATTTGAAATTAACATCACTCTGCTTATTTTGACAAAAAAATGCAAAAAGCTTATATTTAGCTCAGTTTAGTCATTCTGTAAGCAGTTAAATTCAAGTCAAGTCAAGAGGCTTTTATTGTCATTCCATCTATGTACAAGTACACAGTGGAGCGAAATTACCTTCCTCCAGGAGTGTGGTGCAACATGGAATAAAATGAGACAGTACAAAGTGCAACCGTGCAGACGTAAGTGTGCAAACATCAAACTAGAAACAATACAATAAATACGATAAATAAAACAGGTATTAGACACAGTAAACAGACAGGACAGTGCAGCACTGACACAGCACTCATTTCTGGACATGAGGTAGTGAGAATAAGGTGCAGAGATGTTTAACATGCTATGATATGTGTCTATGCAGTCAGATTATAACATACGTCAGCACACCAGATACTGAGGTAGAAATATACAGTGCTTCAGTAGAGTATGTACTATTTGCTTCAGTATGTAAGATGCAGTGTAGAGCATAGCAAGGCCAACTTTAAAATCATAACTAAATCCTTAAACAGCTTACTAAATAATATTAAGTAATATGTACACATAATGTTTCGTTTACTTTCACTGTTAAAACACTGGGTATTTACGGTACAGTTTCACACTGTCTCTTCTGCAGGTGTGATTTACCATCTCAGGAAAATTCAAAGCATCTTCCCGGTGTCCCTGAAGATTTAGTTAAATTGTGAACATTATGAAAATTGTAATATTTCACGATAATATTATTTCTTTGTCAAAGGCAGAATTCCAGAGGTACTTTTTTTTTTAAGAAAGCATGTGGTTATTGCTCTGGAAATCACTCCATTAGAGAATGTGTTGCAGTCTGAAGTTTCTCCAGCAAGGGGCAGTATTAGCAACTGCCATGGATACCACAGCAACATCCTGGCAACACCTTAGCAACCACCTTCAAGTTCATATCAGCGGCATTGTCAAGGCAGCTTAAAGTCAGCTCACAAATTTTACCCTAGTTTAATATGATTGCGAAAGGTTTTCATTAAAACAGTTAATGTTTAAAAAAAAGCATCTAAACTAAAAATAGAATAGGAAGTAGGTCTAAGCTGCAGCGTACTGTGTGTGTTGGTTGGGGGGGTGAATATAATCAAATCGCATGGAAATCCATGACTTGATTGGACAAGCCCTAGGTAAATAGGCATGAAATGACCCTTGTCCATCTCATTCGGGGGGTCCTTTAATTAGTGCATTGGATTTGGTCATGCTCTGAAACTATAGGAGGCATACCGATTCAGGCAAGTAATGTACTTTAAGTATTTAATCTTTTAAATCTCCTTCTTCCAAGCTCAGAGAAGAAAAGCGGAGAACATTCTGTGCTTTTGCTACACATGCACAAACTGTTTTCATTACTTCTTCTCCTTGGCCATCATTGGCAAAGCCTAGCCCACAGGTGCCCAAGGATAATTGTGAGCATGTGCAGTAAAACCACAAGCCAGCGACACTGCTTTTACCTTGTTATCGGTGTAGTTTGCCATGAATGGATTAATTTGTTGTAATTTTTATGTTTGGACATAATTTTGATAATGTGTCATACTGAGTTCTAAGAATCTTACTCAGTTTTGTTTTAATGTCACCCTATAAAGCATCTCTATTTAATACCATCCCTAATCACAGTGGATAATTCAGGTAACAATTTAGTAGCTCATTAAGGAGTGTGATAACAAGGCCCAGGTGGAGAAAGTTGGCCTAATTTTCCCCTGTGACTTTAAAAGACATTTACTTATTTATGAACAGTGTGTAAGGAAGCTGTTCAAGCTGCTATGTTTAGTGTGAAAACTGTTAGAGTGAGCAGACTGTCTTGTCAGTTGCAGCGGTTCCAGCAAGTTAATACGTTTTGCTCATAAAACAAATGTTTTAAAGTTCATAAATGTCTCAGTGTGAAGCTGTCTTGTGCTGTCTCCATGCTGCTGCATAGCTTCAGGGTCTTCTTGTCTCCTGTAAATGAATGGAGGAAGAAATGAGTGTTATTCACTAATGGAAATGAGAAACAGCTTTGACCGCTGAGCCAAGCTGCTTGTTTGCTGGGCTACATCTCAGATTTGGTGAAATTCAGTTGTGGCAATGTTTACAAAGCCCAGTTCACAACCATCTGGTTGGAAATTTTAAAAATTGACCAAGTTCATTTTTCAGATGCCAGGCTTTTGAATGTTATTTACTTATTTATAGGATGACCAGATCAAGACAGTTCAACTAAAGGACAGCATAGTCAATTTTGCAGGACAGTGTGAGACACATGGGGGCGAGGGGGGTATTGAAATATTTCGGTTTAATAATAGACAGCATGATTTTGTTATTAACCTGCGGCAAATCACCAGTACATAACATTATATGAAATCTTGGCCTATGTAGAAAAGCCTGAAACACATTTTAAGTAGGAAAAGTAATCATATATAAAATTATGTAAAGGAATTATATGTAAACAAGCTAAGCACAGTTTTGCATAAAGTAGCAACCATGAAGATACTTATGAATCATGTGTTATTCTGACGCGATTCATTCACACGAATAGGTGGGGAAATGTCAGTTTACCACAGGATGTCTGTAATATTTACGAGCAATTTGCACTGGATAAGAAATCTCAATATAAATGACAAGAGATGGGAGTGACTACTTGATTGTCTTCCCTACACAAAAGAGTAGAAAACATGTCAAAACATTAAATTTAGCCAATGCCCTTAGCATTGTCTTTATCTTGGGAACTTCCAGGCAGCAGCCACCTCTGAATGGCTAAGAAGAAACAAACTGAATGTTTTGGAGTGGCAGAGTAAAAATTCGGACATGAATCCCATTGAGATGCTGTGGAAAAGCCTTAAATGTGTAATTAATGCTCAGAAGCCCTCCAGTGTAGCTGAATTAAAACAGTTCTACAAAGAAGAGTGGGCCAAAATTCCTCCACAGTGATGTAAAAGACTCATCGCAAATGTTTAATTGCAGCTGTTACTGTCAAGGGTGGCACAAGCAGTCATTAGGTTTAGAGCAGCAATTACTTTTTCAAATTAGCAGAAATAGAAGAAATCAGGTGAAGGGCAAATACTTTCTCACAGCGTTGTACCTAAATATAAATAGTCTATAATTTAACTCATCTGCAGTAAAAGTAACTGGATACTGGATGTTTTTGACACTCTAGATCACATAGTAGTAGTGCAGTTGTTTTGAGGAATGTTTACTGTTTTGCTTGCATGGTGTGTCGCTAGTTAAAGGCAGTTTCAATGGAAGTGGTCTTACATTTTACGAGATGTGTTTTTTATGGGGTGCTGTTAATTTAATTTTTGGATTTCTATATCTCTTAGTTTAGGAACAAATGGTATCACTTATATTTAAAAAAAAAAAAGGATAGGTAAACATTTAGGTTGCTATTGAACTGTTTTCCAGAGAGCGAGGCCAATTGTGATCTCTTGGGCTCCCGGCCACGGATGGCTGTAGAAAGGTTATTTTTACAGCATATTTCAAGATGAGAATGTGCCAGAAACAGGCATTTTAGGACCCAAAAAAAGACTAGGATTCATCCAGTAAAATCTGACCATTTTCACCCCAGTGATAACATTTTGATATGTTTTGATATGTGTGTATTTGCTATATACTACATTCAAAAACTCTATTGTCTTATCTCATCAAAAGAGTGCAAACTGGGCTTAAGAGACCAAAACTGTTGACACAGAAATGCCACAAACTGCTAAAAAACATTTAAACAGTCAAAGAAGGCTGTCAGAATGTGGTACCTTTGTTCTGCTTGCCACATGCAGCTGTGTCCTGTACAGTCAGTGACCGCATCAAATTCAAAGAGAGCAATGGACTTCTGCATTCTCTTTCTCCATTTTTTTTGATTGCCAGACAATGGGACGTCTGCACAATCGATTGCTTAGCATTTTCCTCAGAGTATGATAAAGCAGAACTGAGAAAATAGGGAAAATTGCACAGCCAATGCAACACTTTGGAATGCCCTGAAAAAGAAAGAAACCACTGGTGTACTAACAAGCAGACATCGAACAGGTCAGCCAAGGAAAACAACAGCAATTGGTGAAAGAAACATTGTGACAGCTGTGAAGAAAATCCCAAATGCAACGGTCAGTGACATCACCAACAACCTCAACAGGCCAGGAGTGGAGGTATCACAATTCACCATTTGAAGAAGACTTTGACAGCACAAATATGGAGGCCTTACCACAAGATGCAAACCAGTCATAAGCAGTAAGAATTGGGAGGCCAGATTGGAATTCAGTCTATTGTCTCACATTCATCTTTGATCTCAAACCCAGATGTATTGGTCTGGCTGCTTCAATGCTTTCAAAGGAGACTGTATGTAGATTACACAAACTGTGAGCTGAGTTAAACACCGTATTAGATAAAGGGTTCACCTCAAAGTAGCTGAATTCACTTAGGTGTCTGTATAGTTTTGGACATACAGTGTACCAAACTGCCTGAAAAATGACCTCCACTTCAGATACTGACATTGTAAAAGAAGTTGGTTGCATTGACAATGAAGTGTGTTCTAAGTCCTTTTTGCCTGCCTGTGCCAAAGTGTGCACCCCCTTTTATTTCTAATGCACCCTAAGTGATTTTGTTCTGAGGCTGTGCATGGATGAATATGTGGATGGGATCCACTCTGTGGATTTTTTTCGCCATATGAACAGTGGGCATAAATGTGGATCTGTCTCCCTCTAGAGGAATTTAAAGGGAGCAAGGAAACATGCAAGTATTTTGTGAATTGATTCCTAAAGATGTAAATTAAAGCCGCGTCGGTATTTGCTTGTGTTTTTTGTCCCAGTGAGTCGCATTACAATTGTGCATTCAGGGCCTTATAAATGATTCTCTCGCTCGCTCTCTTTTTCCTCAGACATGTCACTTTCTGTGAGGTACAGTCGTCGGCCTACCTGCCCTGATGCCACAGTGGGGGTCCGCATGCCCACCCCTCCGCCATCACGCCACAGAAAGAGCCATAGTGTGGGCAACAAGTGTGTATCTTTTGCTTATTTCACTCATTCTCTCTATCTCTTCACCACTTTCTCAAGCACACAAACATGCACATGTTGAAGGCCCCATATCCTTCATCGGTCTTATATTTTGTTTTCCCATTTGTGACCTATTTGTGGGCTTATACACCAAAAAATAGTCATTCATTTTTACATCTCTTTTATTACATAAACAGGTCAAATTTGTTCCTTCAGATGTTCTGGTTTTCATGACTTCATAAAAACAGTGAATTTCAAAGCACTGAGATCATTGAGAGTTTTAATGTTTGCAATCCAGTTAACTTAAAGTTTTGTTTGTGATGAGTATAAAAATGGCAATGTTTTCAGTGACTGTTATTGCTCTTACATTATGATTCATGATTGCCCTGCACTCTCCCTCTCTTAGTATGATGTGGCAGTTTGGCATGGTGGAGAGTAAAAGTGCCACATTTCCTGTGGAGAAACCACGGCATCTGCTCGACGACAGCTTCTTAGAGTCTCAGAGTCCAGCCAGACACAACCCCAACAACTCTTCAGTGTCCAATGGCATATCAATAGGTACCAACACAGTGTTGTCATACTACATTAAACCTATTATAGCCAGTACAGCCATTACAATTGTTGTATGTAATGTAAGTAATTGTGCCTTTTTCAAGATTTTCAATCTGTACCTAATCTATAGCATATCTGTATATCATTACGTTCTTTCATTTTGTTATAAATACATATTCCTGTAGTGCTACAGTGTTAAAAAGGCTTGAATTTCTGGCACTGGTACAAATAAGATATGTTTTCCTCTTCAGGAAGCAGTGAGAGTTCATTCTGTGAGGATCTCTCCACAAGAGTAGAAAGGTAAGATGACCTGTCTTTATTAATAACTGTTAACGGAATGTTTAACATTAAAATATTTTGGTTTTGCATTAACCGAATAGTAGAAAATTATTTTCGACCGCCAGGCTACGAAGCAGATGATTTCTTGTTGCGTTGTTTTCACCTGTGATGAAATGTGTTTCTGTGTCTTTTTCATGTTTAAATGTGTAGCATATATCTGTACATACTCAACAAAAACGCATAAAAAAAGAAAAATGTTAAAAAAAGCAGTTAAAGGGGAATTCCACCAAAGTTTCTACGCTGGATGAGATGTAAACAAAGTGATTGAGAGTGGTTTGATTCAAAATGGTTCATCGTAGAGAAACTTACAGACTCACTGGTGGTGATAGGAACCAGGGGTCACTATGTATACCAAACAAACATCGAAAAAAAATGTTTTGGGCATCAGGCAAAATATTCTTGACAATTTCTTCACTTTCTATGAGGGAGCTTTTCGAGACAATAAACCTAAAAAAATCTTCACTCTCTATGTTTCTCTAAAACAAAGCATTTTACATCAAACCAGTCTAAATGACAGTGTCTACATCTGAATGATTTAAATATGCAGGAATTTTGAGAATTCTTTGGAAATCCCCTTTAAATTTCAAGTTGATTGTCAGGAACAGCAGCCTTTTTCAGTATGTAATCAGTCCATTTTATAGAGCTTGAGTTCAAATCAGTTTATCTATAGAATCCAGTATGAATAAAATGAGAGGTGAAAATAAATCCCAGGATGAATATGGCTCTTCAGTATTCTGGACTGGCTTGCACCGGTTCTGCATAAGTTTACACTTAATTTTGTGTGGAAAGTCTTTACTAAGTCCTGAGTTAATACTAGTTAGTTTCAAACTATCCTTTTACCAAAGTTGGTTTAACCACAAATTGTTAAGTCATGTCTTAACTAGTAAAAACTAACTAATGCTTACGTTTTGATGTTTAGACTCTGACTGAACTGGGGCAGGGGGTGTTAGCTATATGTTTAGAACTAAAAGCAGGGTGATGATTAGAGCTGTAAGTAAAATCACAGCATATAGTATTTGGTGTTTTTAGCTTAGTTAACCAAAAACTAAGCTTTTTTCTGTAGTTTCAGTTGGTTTCCCCAACATTTACACCAGCTGAGGGGGGGTGTAAATATTTAGTACAAAACTAGTTTGTGTAGTGCACCCCAATTTGATTTAGTGACTTGTAAACCTAAACTTAGCAAATACTTATGTTACAGCTAGCCTGTGTTTGAGCTTATGCATTGCTGGTGCAGCTGCTCCCTGATTATCCTTGTAATTCTCATCTGCTACCAACAGGAAAGTAAACATGTTTATGACAACTTGAACAGACTAAAAATGTCTTTATCCCTGAAACATAATGGGCTGGTTTCCTAGCCCCAGATTAAGCCTATGACTAGAGTAATAAGGTTTTTGCAATTGTAAATCACCAATGGCATTCCAGTTTAGCTAGCTAGCTAGCTACCTAGCTAGTCAGTTAGTCTGTCACTCAGTCACTTAGTCACTAAAACAGTCTTTTTTTTTGTCCATTTCTGGAAATTTGCCTAGTCTAAGACTAGGCCTATGAAAGTCCAGAGCACATTGTCTAAGCATAAATTGGACTGAAGAATAGTGAATTAGTGTCCACAAACAAGCCCACAAACTGACTGTGCCAAATATGCAAACAGGGGGCGCATGTATGCCACACTTGGCCCCAACTGGAGGGTTCCTCTCCGCAACTCCCCCAGAAGTCGCAGCTATGCCTGCAGGTACAGTCTTCAGCTTGGGTCAAGGGTCACCTCATTTGTCCTTCTGAGCCGTCACGATTCGTCCTTGCATGCCACCTGTCTTCTTCACCAATCTCTTTTATCTCTCTTTTCTAGCTTGTCCCAGGCACATTTCTTTCATTTCCGACTTTGCCTTGGGTCAGATGGTCATCTTACATAATGTGTGCAGCCTGTTCAATAGCTACATGTACTAAGTTGTTCAAACGTGGTGTCTGTTGGGTGGAGGTTTGGTTGATGGGTTTCACATGCTAGCACCATTTTACTCTCCTAATTCTACCTCATTTGACGTTTCCTGAGCTCACTTCACTCTTTCCAGTGACTTTCGGAGCAGGTTTGGTGGTGACCAAACATCTGACACATTTCCTGTCTCCTTCCGAGTGTCAACCTGTCATTTTTGGCTTCCAGTGAGCCACAATAAAAGGCCAGATCATCTGAACTCACTTTAGTTCACTGAACATTTCAGCCTGCAGAGCCATGCTTGGCCAAACTGTTCAACATCAACACCATTACAAACACTTGCTCACTAGGGCCCGACCGATTTACTATCTGACTGGTGAAATTGGCTGATGTTTAGGTTCCGCAGAACACTGATGCATACAGTACAGTGCAAAAGTCAGAGACCACCCTTTGTTACAAGTTATTCATTTTGTAGCGTCAGGAAAAAAGAAAACATATTTAACAGACATTTAAACAGGAGCCTCAACAAGTAAATATAATATACATTTTTCAGTGTTTTATGTGTCCACCTTTTGGCTTTATTACAGCATAGATTCTTTTCAGGAGTTTGCTTTCAGTTTTTCAAAGAAATCTGCAGGGATATTTTTCCACACCTCCACATCAAAGTAATCCACGTTCAGTGAAGTCTGGACTGAGGTGGTCAGTCCATTGTTCTGAGAACACCAGCAGCTTCTTTGTGTGATTTGCTTTTTTTTTTTCTTTGTCTGTTTTCTTTCTTCTTGACAGCTACACATCCTTTCAGACTCATAGTGTTGAGTTGTCTTCTCACAGTGGAAGGATAGACAGAAACACCTGTGGGTGTTTTTTTTCAGATCTGACAAAGCAAGAGTGGAGCTTGATTTCCTCTCTAAAAGATGAAAGCTCTGAGTACTGTTTATCTGATGGTGACAGTTTTAGTGGTCCAGTCATTTTATGAGCTCCAGTTTTGAAAACTCCTGTTTTTCACTAATTTTCCTTTCTCAGAAATATCTCCTGACAAAATCAATAACTTACTTAATGGCTGCTTTGACTGGGAATTGAGTAAATGAAGTGTTCTCTGACTTTACATGGTACTGTATAAAATACAAATAAAAACCTATACGTTTTTCTTATTGATTTCATGGCTGTTATCAATTAATTTTTAAAATATTCTTATCGATAAATTGATAAGGGGTCTCAGTCCATACATAGTTGACAGTTCACAGCTGAAATATTGGAGTCTGTTTATTTTTTGATTATATTAAATGATCAGCTGATGTTAACAGTTATTAGAATTTGAAGATTCTTAATATCAATATCAGTGACAGAAGGTTCATATCGGTCAGGCCCTAGAGCATACAGATGCTGCACATATTCCTTAACATAGTGGAATACAGGATGTTTTATTCATGTTTCAAGCAAATATTTCCACTCCAACAGTGCGTCAGCAGTGCAACCCGGCCGAGGCCATGGGGAGATAGGTGGTATCGCTATGGAGGGTCCTCTAAAGAGGAAGACCCTGCTGAAAGAGGGCCGAAAGCCAAAGGTGAGCTTGGCATGTAATGTATCCAGGGAAATGAAAATCTGAATAACAATCCTGACAGCCCTTGATTTAACCTGATAAATGTGTCAATTTACTTGTTGAATTAAATCTTCTGGCAAGGAGATGTCTTAATAGTGTACGTTTTCATTTTTCATGAACATGACACATTTTCGGTTCTGGTTTTTAGCTTTCATCCTGGACACGGTATTGGATCACACTCTCGGGCTCTACTTTGACTTTCTATGGAGCCAAAGCACTTCGAGGCACAGAAAGAAAACATGTGAGGGTGTCCCTTTGTGCCATTCAGTTTTAGAATGTGACCCATTTAGTATGGCAGTGCAAGTTGTGATGAGTATATAACATATTGTTTCCGTCATATAGTACAAATCCACACCCTGTAAAAAAGTGTGTGTGCTGGGCTGGATGGTGGTCTTGCCAGATGATCCAACACGACCCAATATCTTCCAGCTGAATGATGCAGACAAAGGTAAAAAGAAATTCCCTTAGAGCAATAGTGTATATTTGAACTGTCTTTCAAAATTTCTTCGTTCTTTGTTTTTGCTTTTGGTTTACATGTTGGATTAAATGAAAAGTAAATGTCTTTTCCCAGGAAATGTTTACAAGTTTCAGACAGGGTCCCGATTCTCTGCAATCCTCTGGCATAAACACTTGGAGGAGGCTTGTCAGAGCAACAAACCGCAGGTAGTCTTATAATCCATTTAGAACACACCTACATCCTAGAAAGAAAACTGGCCAAGGGCCAAAAAAATTGCAGACATTTGAAATTTTAAACATTTATTTTAAAACATTTTGCTGTAATTTGATACTAAAACACCCCAAACATAAAATTTTAAAGGTAAAATCAGAATTAAATGTTATATACATAAACATACCAGTCCACTTTTTATTTATTTTATTTTTTTTGGAATTGTGGGCTGATGTCGATATCCAGTATATATCAGGTACATGTCAGCAGCTACATCAAGATTTAAATAATATAGAAATTGGTACTACATCTTAGCATTAGGGAAATGTAACATATATTTTTATGGAGTTACAAATGGAGTAAAAAAATAAAATACAATTATTTTAGCACAGTAGCTCTGCGTCACCTAAGCATTCTGCTCTTCTGGTGTGCAATAAATAAATCAAATATTGGGTTTATAATATTGGGCTCATAAATACACCAATATTGGGTTTATCGGGTCTGTAGGGCTACAAATTTAGTAAAAGGAATAAAATGCAGCACAGTAGCGCAGTGCTGCCTAAACATTCTGTCCTTCTGGAGTACAGTAAATTCATCAAATACTGGTTCAAAACATCGATCAAATCTAATCTTTCTTTGGCCTACATTTACGGCATTCGGCAGATGTTCTTATCCAGAGCAACTTACAATTTGATAATTTTACACAGGAAGGTGAAGGTAGTGTTAGGAGTCTTGCCCAAGGACTCTTATTGGTATAGTGTAGGGTGCTGCCCAAGCGGGGATTGAACCCCAGTCTACAGCGTAGAAGGCAGAGGTGATACCCGCTTCACTATACCAACCACTGCCCTAGTCACAGACACAAACAAAGTCACAGACACACAGACAAGCAAACATGACTACAGTCTGCAAGTACATATCAAGTTTAACCTGCAATGTGTACTCTAAATGATATATTTTGCCTTTGTACTTGATCTTCTACTAACTTTGTTGAGCAAATAAGTATGTATTCAAAAGCATGAAGTATATGTTAAAAACTAAATTAATAGCCCCGTTTCCAAAAAAGTTGGGATAGTTGTCATTTAAACCCTATATTTAATTGAAAATAGTACAAAGTCAACATATCAAATGTTGAAACTGAGATGAAACTGCCCATTTTGAATGAAGCAACACATTTAAAAAAAAATTGGGATGGGGGAACAAAAGACTGGTAAAGTTTTATAATGCTAAAAAAAAACACCTGGTTGAACATCTCACAACTAATTAGGTTCATTGGCAACAGGTCAGTGACATGATTGGTTATAAAAGAGCATCCCCAAAAGGTCTTCAGAAGTAAAGATGCGGAGGGCTTCAACACTTTGCCAATAGTGCAGCAAATCAAGAAAAATGTTTCTCAATGTAAAATAGCAAAGAATTTAGGGATTTCATCATCTACAATACATAATATCATTAAAAGATTCAGAGAATCCTGAGAAATCTCTGTATGCAAGGGATAAGGCCGAAAAACAACATTGGTTGGCCATGATCTTCAGACCCTCAGGTGGCACTGCATCAAAAACGCGATTCTATAGGTGAAATCACTGCACAGGCTCAGGAACACTTCCGAAAACCATTGTCTGTGAACACAGTTCATCGCTGTATCCACAAATGTAAGTTAAAACTCTACCATGCAAAGAAGAACTCATACATAAAAAGAATCCAGAAATGCTGCCACCTTCTCTGGGCCTGAGCTCATTTAAAATGCACTGAGGCGAAGTGGAAAAGTGTGCTATGGTCCGACACAATCAAAATTTGAAAATCTTTTTGGAAATCATGGACACAAGTCTGCGTTGTTGTGGCCCGGAAGGAACCCAGTTTGACACACCTGCCATAGAGTCACAGTTCACTGTTTTTTTTTGTTTTGTTTTGTTTTTTTATTGTATAACTAGTTTCTCTTTCTTTCCTCTTAGACACCAGCCAATCTCATGTCATTCGAGTAAGAGCCCTCGCTCAAGCCTTAAAATGTGAAAAAGTGCCAAAGCTCTCTCCATGTGGGATAGGAGGAATAAGTCTGCGAAGAAGAGAAAAAAGAACTGACCAGGAGTGTCCACTGAGCCAAAGTTCCGCTGCTTACATGGACTTTTCCTCTGGCCTGGCGAAGGCTCCTCAGCCTCAGGGCTAGGCAGAACTTGTCTGTCTTGCACTGGGAAACAAGGTGGAATACTCTAGGCTATGTGGAGGTACTGGCTGTACTGTACTGTAACAGTGAACACTTTCCTCCCCATCCCCTGCCTTATCTGGAAGCTTTTTTTGTTCTGTAGTGTCCTTGTCTTGCTACCATGAACATATTTTTTAGCCCATGTTGGGTTTGTTTATATGTTGGGAGTATAGGTTGTGCACACAAATAGTCTACACTAGAAGTAAGCACTGTTATTGGACTAGAGATGGGAAAAGACAGTACGGTGCTGTCCTTGTTTTCGGAGGCCTTACCTAGCCACACGAGAAGAACTACAGGGAGGCTGATTCTGTTTTATATTCTACTACTGTAAGGGTAAAGAGCCACTGCTAGCACTCAGAGCCATAGATGCACAAAGCACAGCTGGGTCACCTGTTGCCATACTGGCTTTGACTGATGTAATTCATAGGCTAATACCTTTAGTAGATCTGTAAAGAAACAGAACGTTGCTCATTGGTGGCCATTTTCAGAATGTGATATATGTTCTGTAGGGCTGGCCCGAATGATTTGAATACTCAAGTATTCGTTCATTAAGTTGGTATTTGATTCACTATTGAGTATTCAGATATCTGTCAAAAGTTGTGGTTAAAACTACAATACATTTCATCAAAATGGGCCTTTATGTTGTTGCTGTCACTCAAAAACCTTGTGTCTTAATTTCTGTCATTTTTACTGTTCTATATAAGTTACCTTTTGCATTGTTCTGGCGGTGGAATACCAGCACTGCTATGTTGTGGGTGCTCCCAGCCAGAGGAGTCTGGTGTGGGGGTGAAATTCAGTCTAGCTAGCAGACAAAGAGCTGAAGTGATCACAGTATCAGTGGTCCCTTGACTTGAAAAGTGCCCTCCGTGCACTTTACTAGCCAAGTGGGACACCTCTCGAGCTGCTTCTAGGTCCATCCTGTCCACGTTCAGATTGCATCTTCAAAAGCTCCTCAATCCTCTGCTCTACTCTTTGTAGCTCAGCTATGACTGAGCTCAACTTGGCCTGGGTGTCACCCCCACTATGGCTTTCAATGCTAAAAAAATGGTGAACAAGCCAAATAACATAAGAAAATCAACTAACTAAAACCAAGTAACACCGTGATGGTCATAAATAAAACAATCATTCTTATACGGTACACCCTTAGCATCTGCTCGACTCATAAAATGTATTTGAGCGAGAGGACTTCCATTGTGGCTTCTATGGCAGACAATGCGAGCAGCTGGGCTTCAGTCTGACTATTATTACATTATTGCCACCTACTGGTTATACTTTGAGCTGCTTAAATAAACATACTTAAAATTATAGTTAATTGTGTAAAATAACTCATTTTAATCATTTTAAAGGGTGATTTTGAGAATAAATATTTGAGTAGTTGTTAAAAAATGCCAGCGAGTATTTAAAAATTTCGGGCCAGCCCTAATGTCCTGTTTTTGAAGGCTGAAACATCTAAAAATCCACTCACATGACCTGTGGGTCATAAATTATTTCTCAGTGCATTAAATAACATAAACCAAGAGTTGAAGACTGTCCAATAGGAGTGTCCCTTTGCTCTCAGCTCCTACTTGGACCTGTTTGCTTGAGCCTAAGGAAAAACTCCATTGTTTTTGATGCTAATCTCTGTCTGCCACATCTGTACTGGACATCTGTACCACAGACAGCAATTTCAGCTTATACTGAGGAAATAACTGCAAAGCCCTCGACTCAGAACACACAATTCAGCAGAAGCTGTTGGGCAGTTGCTTCAGCCACTTCAGACAGGTTTTGAGTTATTTTACAGGGAAACGTGTCAAAACTATTGTCTGTAATCAGGTGTATGATACAGATGTGACAGATAGAGATTAGGTAAAATAAAAAAGGGAACTATCAAAGTTAGTGGACAAATTGTTTGACTATAGTTTACATCAGTGATATTTAACCCTGTCCTCAGCATCCACATATAATATTGAACAAAGTCAGAGACCACCCTTCATGTGTTTAATTTCCAGTCACAGTGGCTGTTAAGTACAAGTTGTTCATTTTCCATCATCAGCAAATACATATTTAACAGAAAATTACACTCAACAACTAAATGTAATTTTTTTTCAGTATCTGGTGTGTCCACCCTTTTCCTCCATTACAGATTCCATTCTTTTCTGTAGTCTTGCTTTCAGTTTTTCAAAGAAATCTGTAAGGATATTTTTCTACACCTCCAAAGTTCGGTCTTAAAAGTTGGTTGCATTTTCTGCTTCTCAAGTCCAAACACACTCAGTGATGCTGAGGTCTGGACTAGTCTATTGTTCTGAGAACAGCAGCAGCTTCTTTGTTTAATTTGCAAATTTTCTTCTTTTTTGTTTCCTTTTCTTACTAACAGCTTATTGTCAGCTACACATCCTTTCACACTCATAGTGCTGCGTTGTCTTCTCACAGTGGAAGAATAGACAGAAACACCTGTGGATTTTTTCAGATCTGAAGCAACAGTGGAGCTTGATTTTATCCTCTCTCTTAAAGATGAAAGCTTTAAGTACTTTTTTTCTGATGGTGACGGTTCTGGTCTTGTATGATCTTTGAATATTTTTTTTAACTCCTGCTTTTTTTTGCATTTTTCTTTGGCTTCCGTCTTCCTTAGGCAAGTAAATTATCTTGTATCTAATCTCCTCAGAAATATCTCTTGAAAAAATGAACATCTTGTATTTAATGGCTGTTTTGACTGGAAATGAAATTAAACGAATGTTGGAATTCTGTACTGTAGATCAGAAATGTGGACTGACTGAAGGATTGAGTGCTGATTTGCATTAAGGAAAAACTTGTGAAAAGCTGAACTGTATCTTTAATGAAGTATTAGGCACTTATAACAATAATGTGAGAAAGTGTTCAAATGTCCCACTTTTTCTGTCCTGCTGCACAAACAGTAATATCTGTTCTGTAGCCCAAACACCACTTTTTTAATGATGTCAAGGGAAATGTAAGTGTACATACTGAATTGACAATCGCACTATACGGAGGTACGAGTCTCTAAGCGGCCGATTCTGAACTTGACGATGTAATAATTGTTTATACAAGAGCCATGGCCTTCAAAATGAAGTAGATGTCTCAAGTTCAAATCACATGACTGTCTGTTTTATCAGTAAGGACCTGTTGCATACTGTCTAATGTTGTATGAACTTTTGACTTATTTAAAGCCAAGTGTGAGTTTCCTTCTCTTTTGTGCCTAATAGTGTACATTGTTTTAAATTTGATTTCATTAACTTTTGAAAGTGAATGTAGTGGCAACAGCACATCGAGACTTATGTCATTTTTGATGTCATATTTATTTTTTGAAATTTGAAAAGCTTCTAGAAAGTATTTGTTTCTCAAATGTAGTCATTAGGTGCTACTAACCTGCAAAAACTCGATTGAAATAAAGGCCACCAGGTATCATCAGTAAACATTTATTTGTATTTTTGTAGAACGTTTTTACAAACTCTTCAGTCAAAGATATTTGTAAATGAAACTCTAAATCTGTATAACTCATTCTCTCAACACTCTCAGAAAAAAAGGTATGAAACTGTCAATGGGGCAACGCCTTTCTTGTCACTGGGGTGGGACACTCAAGGGTACATCTCAGTGCCTTTAGTCAGGGAACATAATTGTACCATAATCCATTTAAATTATATTTACTAAGTTGTGTTAAATCCACACACCCCGTCTCGTCTCCAGGCTTTTTATTTTATTCTTCTGTTTTAAAACATTCGGTTATGAAAAGGTACAAATATGTACTTTTCATCGGGGAAAAACTTATTTAAGGTGCACAGATGGACCTTAAAACCACTGTTGTATCTTTGAGGGTACATTTACGTTGCTTGTACCTTGATGAACAAAAAAATGTACCTGCACAGCACCTTTATTTCTAACAGTGTAAGGTACGCCTAGTCTTCCAGAGGGATGAATTTGTGGCAATACCAGAGCCGGTTTAAACTGGACACTTCCTATTTCTCCCATTATACCGAAAAACAAGCAAACCACTAGCAGGCGCTCACAAGTGAATCCTCAATGAATGGGAGTGAATGGAGGCTAAAAACGATAAAGCCATTTATGCTCAAACTTTCTTTAATTTTGGAAAGTAGAAGGATGCATTCCATTTTAAAAAATCAAAGAAAACTCACCTGTATTTCCGTTTTTTTACAGCAAAAAGGTTTTGTGCAGTACAAGGCTTAGCATTACTGCTACTTAGTGCGGATTGGTTGGTGAGCTAATCAGCACATCGGCTGAATGAAGCAGTTCTCACTCACTGATGTCATGAACATACATGTCCCTGTTAGAAAGTCCTATAACTGGAGTTCAAAAACGTTAAATATATGACAACATTGTTGAAATATTCTATGCTATTCAAGTGCATTTGAATGTATTCAAATTTACATTTACATACTACAGTTTTGCAGAAAAAGCTCCATACACTGTCAGAGAAGTTCACACAATGTAAATGTACCCTCAAAGTTTTTCCCAGGGAAAAGATACATATTTGTACCTTCTGTATCAAAACCTGATGTTTTAAAACAGAACAGTAAGGTAAAAAGCCTGGAGTCAAGACAGGGCATATGGAATCAATGCAACTTAAAAAATACAATTGCAGCGGAATAAGATACAATTATTTTCCCTAACTAAAGGTAGTGAAGACTCACCCCTGAGGGTACCACCCACATGACAGATAAGTACCTTTTTACCCTCTAGTGTCTGACCGACCTGGAATTGTTGGAGTGGCAGCTCTCCGCACTCTGGTAATACATCTTCAGTGTAGTGGTGGGGGGCCGTTTTCGTAGGCTTCTACCTGATTGGATATGGATTATGGAAAATCTTAGGGAACGCAAATGTAACTGGAATTTTTACTATTTTACTGTTTCTCCAGTGTTGGAAGGTTGAATGAAACTTAATTCCCTGTAGAGGATGTATTAACTTTTTTTCATATGCACTCTTAAAAAAGATGGTTCTTCAAGGGTTCTTTAGTAAAGAAAATGGTTCTATAACGAATCACAAACACTCAAAAACCCTTTGCATGATTAAAGGGGTTCTTCACATCATGAAAGTGTTCTTCAGATTGATGGAGAATGTGTTTCGTATGGTTCTATAAAGAACCTTTTTGAAAATGCTTCTATTTAGCACCAAAAAGTGTTCTTCTATTGTTACAGGCTTGACATCATAACAACAGAAGAACACTTCCTGGTGCTATATAGAACCCTTTTCAAGAAGTTTCTATATAGAACTATCTACAGCACATTCTCCATCAATCTGAAACATTCATTTAATGATGCAATAGACCCTTTAATCATGCAAAGGGTTCTTTGTGTATTCATGGTTCTTTATAGATTTATATAGATATATATTTTCTTTACTAAAGGACCCTTGGACAACCATTTTTTTTTCTAAAGTGTAGAAAATCAACAAAACATGACATTGGAACAGGGGTGTTCAAGCTGTATTTCAAACCTATTCCCCCCACAGAATTCAGCAATTGTTCATAAGATTCTACTTTAAGTGAATTTCGAGTCAGGTTTTCTGTTCTTTTCTAATTACGGAGAGTAACAGACTACACTGTGTCATGCATATTGGCAGCAGCAACTGAAACAGTCATCTCAAGGTCTAATCACTTGGGGCTGAAGCCAAATCCCATGAAGATAATCATAGGAGGATAGTCAAGGGTCTTGCTGTTACCCTGGCTCATTGACAAGCTTTCAAAATTTGAAATAATGTTGTCTTACTGCCGGGAATATGCTGAAATATGCAGGGCAATGTTACTCTATGGCTGGATTTGAGAAACCCAGTTCGAGGCCATCCACAGATATAAAAGAACGATCAATAATCTTTGCTGACCATTATCATTCCTCTATCATGCCTTTTTCCTTTGCAAGATTTGCAAGACTAATTATGTTAAAGTCTGTATGTCTCAATGATTATATTTGCCCTGTTTGTCCTTGTGCATTACTCTTGCCTTATTCTTCATTATTTTGTACTATTTATTGCTTCAGAGTACAACATTTAGGCAAGCAAAGGGACATTTTTGTTTCAAAATTTCTGCATAATTATGTTGTTATCTAAACAGTCATTCAGAGTGGTTTGATGTGAAACTTAGTCAAAATTGTTCACAGTGGTGGTGATAAGAACCAGACGTCTGATGAGTTTCATGCCTCTAAAAGCTACATCACAGAACGTTATTACATAACGTGGTAATGAATACACTGCCTTGTGCCTTAGACAAATTTTTGGCCTAAAACAAATTTGCCACTATTTTACTAACATTATATACAAACACTTATGTGTAGGTTCACTTGTCATTTTGGATAGTAAATAAAATTATTATATTTTTGTCATAGACATCAGCAGATAATCACCATCAGTTGATAAGTTTCTACAATGCACGGTTTCACACAAAACCACTCTGAATGACCTTGTTTACATCTTCACAAATGAGCTATGCAGACGTTTTGAAATATATCCCTTTAATTTCCTCTCCGCAGGTTAATCTTCTATCATATCTGTCACAATTTGTTGTAGTATTTCAGACACACAGCAAGGCTTGGCAGTGATGATAAATTGCGTAAGAGTATTATTATTATTTCAGGCTCTTTTAAATGTCCCTAAGCCAGGTTTGACAGTCATCTGATTTTGTCAGTGAAATGAAGGCTTTGTTTTAATTGCCACTTGTATTATCACAAGTATCGTGTCAACCCCTTTTCTATTTCTGTTTGTTTTTGAACTGCAAAAGACAGATTGACGTTACAGTCTATACACTGCATGTAACTGTTTTTCTGCTGTCTGTTGTGACTGAAACTGCTATTCTGCTGTATTGTTGTGATTTTTTTTTTCTTTTGATAATTTATTTCTTACTTTTGCCATTGTTGTACATTTAGGTTTTGTTTTTCTTTTTTGGCTTAAAATGTTAAGTCTCATGAACAACAATTAAATACCACTTCTGTAAGGAGGTTTATTTTTGTGTACTTCATTAGCATTTGATAATTGTTTGACTTCTCTTTAATGATCTAACATGAATTTAATTTGATGTATGATTAAATTATTGTAGTAGAAATTGATGCAAGGTCCAAGTAAGGACACTGTCATTATTCATTAACAGGTGGGGTTTGTGGTTATAGGGTTAGAGTTAGATTACTCAAGCATTCTTCCTCACTCTCACGCAACACCATCAAATCCCCGTTATTGACAGCAAGTCAGTGAATCCTCTACA